TATTGAAAATTTTCACTAACGCTGTAGCTACTCTTATTTTTCATATGGCTGTATTAGAATTTTAATTATATTTATGATTTTATGAACTGTTAGTTTTATAAGTTACAAGAGTTAATTATCATGACCGATGACGGAACACGAATTCACAGTTTCCCACTCTACGTAGATCGGTATGAGGGTCATACCAGAAACTTTCCTTTGCCCCACATCTCTGGTTACCCGTACCAGTGTAAGAGTACTGAAAAAGAACTATCAGAAGGCAAGATTCAAATCGCGAAAGTCATTGTGGCAAACCGCATATGATTTAATGGCGTCATAATTGGACGCCGATGGTGGTGGAAGAAAAAAATGTGGCAGAACTCCACCGTGCGAAACAGACACCTCATCGACGATCTGACAGGATTTCTGCCCTGGTTGAAATTGACCATTAAACAGCGGGAAATCTTGAATAGAATACGCATGACCCACGCCAGGACGGGACACTACCTGCATATGTTGCGCTGCAAAGAAACCACAGCGTGCAAGTGCGGCAACCCAGACCAAACATTTGACCAGTGCGATAGGAGTTATTTTTGCTTTCAGCAGTTAGGTAAATATTTAGCTGGAAAAGCCAGTGAGAAGGTCGAGTATTTGTTCATGTCATATCAGATACATAACTTCTTATTCCTCGAAGTTAAAAATGTATTTAACGCTTTTAAATTTGGCGGTAATGTCAATGTTGGTAGATGTGCTCTCATTATCCTTCGTGCCGGTTTTTAGACATCTTTTCTAAAACCGTAAAATTTTTTTATCTGAAGTTCAGTTAACTGTAGTGGAAAACGGGAAGAAAAATGGATTTGATTGGAATAGCAAGAGAAATTTTGTGTAAACGACCCTAAGACGCCGTAACCAAACAGACGTAAGCCTTTAGACGATGCCCTTTGTCGTCGGGCATTAGTTATTACTGTTTTCACTTATGGTAATGAGTCGTGGATAATGAATGACCCAAAGATTACCCTGAGGAATGCAAGGTACTGTAATGTAGTTTCTGAAAATGATCGCTGTCCTTTCGGTGAATAATGACACTCGTCACACCCAGTATTTACTTCTCACGATTGACGGGCTCCAATGGAAATGTTTTCTTTTATTGATGCCATTGTACTGCTTGCCATTGTTACTTGTTTGTTCATTTATTCCGCAGAACACTCGGAGGATCTCGCGCAATGCTATAGACGGACTCATTTCCAGTATTTATGTATCTACGGCCAAAGTATTTACTGGATAACCGCGAAGTTGATAAAACTGTCTAATGCTATAAACGTGATTTCTGAAAATAAAGATAACAAGTTATATGGAATATTTAAATATTGAATAAAACTAACGATTCTTCGTAGGTGGGTTAATAATTTCAGGCGTAATTGCTGACGTAATGTTTAGCCGTTTATGACGTTATCTTAGAAATGTAAGGTTTAAAATATCTACATTGAACAGCAGAATGCATTGCCTGGTTTCATAGCGAAGAATTTCAGTTCTTTAGCATTTGCTTTTAAAATATTTGTTACATTTCCAGATTTAATTTCAGATTGTTATATACATTAAGAAATCCGGTTTTCAGATGAAACTTTGCAAGGTCAAAAAGATATTCACAGGCCCGAAAGGTATTCCAGTGCTAGTGACTCACGATGGGCGAACGATTCGCTATCCAGATCCGCTGATCAAGGCAAATGACACAATCGTCTATGATCTTACGACGAATAAGATCAAAGAGTTTATAAAGTTCGATTCAGGTTCGAATGTGTTTTCTTATATTTTTAATGTTGTAGCACGGAATTCCGTATTGCGTTATGACTGTTGCATTAAGTAATGTTTCGCGATGTTAGCTTAATGAGATGCAGGCAATGTAGAAATTCTGAAACAGGACAAATATCGGCTAATATATGGTCAGACTCAGGACATATAATTCTTCACTGATTTCATAGACATTACCAGTCAGAACAGTGAAATAAAATGGAAATATTTTTAAATCAGTATTTTGACAGGTACTTCGTATTATATTTACTGGATAAGGAATATAGCAGATTCGATCCATAATTTTGATAACTTATTCGTATTGTGCTCTTTTTGTGCTTTCCATTGATATGCATCATAATAAAATAGATTGAGGGATAAAGATAGGCACTAGAATTATTAGATCAAAATTATGAACAGATGACGTTGCCCACACTAAATCACCTCAATGTAATCGCGTCGTTATAAAATGAAGCTTGGAACCTTGAAATCAAATAGTTCAACGGAATTTTTGCATTGTGATAACTGACAGCTTTTCATAGATATTTAATATGATGGCTTGGGTGTATTATTTGATACAGGTGGTCACAGTCTAACCATGTAGATTCACACTAGCAGCCACAGACTGCGCGTCAGTCATCACTTAAACGTCATGGGCCGTGAACAGGATGCTGTGTTTTTAGAAGCTACATGAATATATATGAGCAGGCATCTGCTTCAATCATAACTTTAACTTGTCAAGTACAAAGTTTTCTTATGAAAGCGCCGCACATTTTTGCTTTACATTTTGCTTGTAACCACCACCCTTTTAAGGCAATCTGTGCATGGTTACTGGAGGCCATAACGTCGGCCGAGTCGGTTTGGTGATGCATCGTGAACGCCATCTTGGATCCTTTGATATCGTGCACGTGAAAGACGCTGCCGGAAATTCATTTGCTACAAGGTATGTAGTTCTTGGTCACCTACATGAAGTATGCACATTTTGAAGTATGTTCCTAGCGCTGTTTCGACTTCATAGTTTTAATGATATATCTGAAGAAGGGGATCCACCTCATAAAACAGTAGAAATTGTCAGCCGTTAGCCTTACTTACTGTTCTGTCTTTTAACAAATTGCTGTAAGTTAAAACGAAGCATAATGGATCGACCGAGTGACAGCATATTTTGCCGCGTACCAGGAATCGTTATATACCGTGATTTAATGGTTAAATAATATGAACTTTTGCTATTATACTGTTTGTAGCGCTAAATGCGTATTAAGATGCAATATGTATTACCAACAGAAGTTGGTAATAAGATGGCCAGGATTGAAACACTAAGAAAACTAAGAAATCATCTTTGAAAAAACTACTTACATTGGTTTTGTCAGAAATAGCAGTCTGAACGTGTATTTCCAGTACCTAGTCATTATTCAGTTATGGAGTTTAACAGGGTAAGTATTGAAATAAACGTTGTTTGCAGAATTGACATTAATTGCCATCTGACTATATATAATTATAAATATGTAATATTGAAAAACGTACATTATTTCTTTATGCGGGAGATGGTTTAATCTTTTAATACGCCACATACGGAAAGACACCGCATAAAATATTCTTTAATTAGGGAAATTGAAGTTTCGGACTGACCTCGGTCCGTCTGTACTCTGAAAATTATATATATTACCAAAGGATTGTTTAATTATATAATAGATGTAATATATATTTTTGATAGCCCATTGGATACTGGTTTCTCTACTCTGCTGCTGAGCAAAATGATCCGAGCGAACGAATGCACATATTAAACTGGCACCTTTTCAAGCCAAATGGTTTTGGACCTGACACGACTCTCATTTCTCTTTTAATTCGACATTTCGGTTTCATATGTTCTCATATCTTGTTTTTGAGCTTCCATCCAGCTTTTCCCATATCTACGCATGTGCAACTGAGGCGGTAAACAACTCGAAGTGTATCTTGTCCTTGTAGGTTTCCTTTTTGATAAAGAATATTTTAAAGCTTCTACGGTGGATTCATGTTGTCCGCTTCTCGTAGCTCTCCACCAATCTGTGTATTCTTCGAACTGCCATTTTCAATACTTAGTGTTATTTAAACTCCGCTTTATCAAGACATATGGCTTTGGACTTGACGCATGGTCCTCCCTTCTCTGTTAATCCGACATTATAGTTTCCAACGGAAGATCACTGCAGAGTTCTAACCCTATCAATGTCAAGTCGAAAATGGCATGAAACAAATCATGGACGGATTAAGTGTGGAAAAATGTGAACTTGCATATTGAGATGAGCGTCATTTTTGGGCAGAGCATTTGCCTCGATACTTAACTAGATGAAGCATATAACTGAATATTCAGGATGTACTTATACAGGCTCCTACTGTGATTTCTGACAATCCATGTGTACAGTTTTTCCCACTGATACTAGATTAGATTTCCTGGTGCTTCAGCGCTAGCCAACTGTTTTTTACTTGTTCATGTCATCTTTAATGAGGCCAGATCTTTAAAAAAATTTATCGCCTTTTAGTTCTTGTGAATTGTAAATATTACTAAGGAAAACTCGACTTTGAAAACAGTAATACCCAAAAGTTACGACGTCATAGGTGGTTCCACAGCCGGCTACTTAAGTCGAAATGGAGAGGTTGATACAGTTTTATACTAAAGTAACATAATTGGTTCTTGACAGTTCGGTCAATTAACATGTAACAATTTTATTGCAGAAGTACACGTAAATAGTGAAATAAAATGAACGTTTTTAGTTAGAGGAGGATGATTTTACGAGGTCTGGCAATGAGTCAGGGGATTAAGATTGTTTCTCATAAAATTTTTGGTAGCAGGCGATCGTCTTCTTTATGTCTTGTTCAGCAGTTGCTTTTCGGTCTTCATTCGAATCGATTTCTTCTGCAACCTTTAGACTGGCATCAATCAGGTCAATGCTTTCAGCTAACTTTACAGTTGTCATCGTGATTTTCCACTCCGGTTCAGCCTCTTCAGCTGACTTGACAGCACATTTTGGTTATGAAATTGTGAAGAAAGAAAGATCACTCCTGTTGCCTCAGCAGCGTGATTACTCTCTGTATCCGTGAAAAAGTTTTGACCAAATAAGAATGGACAAAGCTTTTCCATACATCGTTCATGGTCCTTTCGCAAACTTCAGCCCACGAGTTTCTGATGATCCTCCCTGCATCCGAAATTAAAGGCCTTTCAGAAATCTTTCGCAGTCATCTACTTGTTTTCTTTCATAGCTGCTTTCAAATAGGCAAAGGATCGTCGATTATGGTGAGTTTTAAATGTTTTAATCACACCCCGGTCCATTGACTGAATCAAACCTGTTGTGTCTGTAGGTAAAAACACCGCTTTCACTCAAGGATCAAAATCATTCAGAGCTGCTGGAGTGTGCTTTAGTGCAGAGTTGAGAATTAGCATCACTTTGAAAGGTAGATTCCAAGACCGGCAGTAGCGCTTGGCATCAAGGATAAAGTGGTGACCAAACAATTTTTCAAAGACAGAAGCAGGGAATCATATCTTAGCGTTGGATTTCTGTATCACTGTAAGGCCAGCCTTGAAACTTATTCTTCGAGCTCTAGGATTATCGAACCGATGAATCAGAACCATGGCTTCTGTTTGTAATCACCAGCACCATTTTCATCCAGCATCACAGTGAGTTGATCTTTGACCGTTTTAAATCACGGAAACGTTTTTCCTTCACAAGAAATAAGCGTTCTCTTAGGCATGTTTTTCAGAACTGTCTCGTATGGGAAATGGTCTGAGAACAATGCTGCCCATCCTCTGTCATTTTCTTCAATTTTTCGGGGAGAAAGCAGCTTCTTTGTTAGCAGTCATAACTTTCTCAGTCCGTGCAGTGCTGCACCAGTCACAGCGCTGTTTAAATCTACTGAACCCAGCCATTTCAAGATTCCTCCTCCAGCCTTTGAAAAATCAGTTAAGCTTCTATGTATTTGGTATTTTTATCTACAGGTCAGCTGTTTACTTTAGTTTCATTATCACATCAAATGTTTTTGAAAAATCTGCGTTTTAGAAATAAGCCCATATCGTTTCCGAATAAATGTTGAATTGAGTGATCAGCCATTTTTCACCTCTGTGAGAAACCTTTCTCTGTTCTTGGTTATAGTCTTCACAATAGTTTGAGCAAGTGTCATTTTCATGGCCATATCGCAAGCTTTAAATTTGTCTTCGAAAAGCTTAATAGTTTCCAGTCATAATTCTGATGAGTGAAGTCAGCGTTTTTCTTTTCTTAGTTAAAGACGAAGATTTTCGTTGGTTTGTTTTTGTAGACATAATGGGTTAAATTGGGAGCTGTTCAAAATTTATATTGGCGTGACTTTATTACGAAAGCGAACTCCACACTCTACATGGGCACAGCGCACAGGCACTTACTGCTCTAGATCGTGCGTGGGTGCAGGCCGGAAAAACTCTGAAGATACTCTGACACATAAGTGCATACTCATTCATGGCGTAGATTTGCCAAATGCATGTACAGCTTTAATTAAATTTTTTTTTCAGATGACGTAAGTCATAATTGACTTAAGTTGAGATAACGTAAGTTGGGGTATTACTGCATATGATTACCTATGGTTTCAGTTGTTTGAACAACTGTTTGCTGATTGTTTAGTCTTTAATCTTTTGCCAAACTTATGTTCAATCAGCTTGAATTCGTTCTTGGGTAGATTCAACGTTCAGTGATCCTTTTTAAAATCGTGTTCATGAGATTATTGAAGAATTTTAGTATGTGCTAAAAGTAGCTTTTATTAAATGAATACCATTGACGTCCATTAGTTATAGTTTCAGTAATAAATAAGAATATGGTTTGCAACTTGTGCTGATTATTCCACTCAGTTATCCGCGGATCATATTGAATCGCTACCATGTGTTGTATGGATCATACAACATAAGCATGTCTCGCGCATTTTATTACACTGATGCACAGCCGGGTGAATTCCCTGCTGGAAGGAAATAACAAGAGAATAAATTTTCTTACCTCGTTAGTTAGTGCACCTGTAAAGTGCAAGACATTATTTGTCGATGTAGTCAAAACAATTAGAAATTGTAAAGGAAATCAGTCAAAATTCTGCGCTTGCAAAGTTATATTTATGTGTTTTCCGCTGATACTCCAATTAAAAATTTCTGCCTCGCTAAATGAAATATTGCATTCTTGAATTTTTCCGGTTTAGTCAGTGAACGGCTTATGGCCTTAGGGATTTTAACCTTACTTGCTTGACTGTGTTTTTCTTGATGCGACGTGCAAGTAGATGCTCAACACGATCGTAAATGTGTTTTGCACGTTTCGTTACCGATATTTGTTTATGCTTATTTTAATGATGATGCATTAGTGTTGCCGCTTCAGCGGTGGGGGGCTTCTTGACTGTAGAGCAATTTTTTCATCCCCACATATGTTAAAAAACATTCTGGGCCTTCTTCAGAGCATTTTGCCTTCCAGTCGAGCAAGTCTGATTATACTCTTCAGTGGCATTCGCGGACATGTTCATATCACTGTATTTCTGATTTATGGAAAATTGCATATCAATTATCAAATCCGACCGGCAAAAGGCCCAGGGGACGGCCAAGATTAACCTGGTGCAAGCATATGGAAGGAATCTG